TACCGAAGAGAGACAAACATTGTTAGAAGCAAACAAGAGTGTATATGAACTGTTCATAGAAGAAAGCAACTTTGAGTGTTTAGATGAAAAGTCATTATATGATGAATATAAACAATATTGTCAAGAGTATGGTTATATGCCAGCGTCTAAACGAACATTCTTGGCAAATGTCAAAAGTCTTTTAGACGTACAGAATGGTGTATATACAAAAAATTTTTTTCTGAGTAAATTTTTAAAAAACTATTTTTTTATCCGATAGAAAAGATGACGAAATATATTTCAGTAAACAAGTACATGTCAGGACTTAAAGAAGAACTAAACCCATTCACATATTTGAATGTTTACTTCTACCATTTTGAAAAGTCTTCATTCAGCAAAGTTTGGAACATCGAACCAGTTAAGTTTGCTATTGTGACTAAAAATGGTGCGAAATTTGAAGACTTAGACATAGAAGGTTTGTTAACAGTCAAAGAAAGTTTTGACAGAAGGTTCTCAAACCTTAAAGAAGGCAAAGCATACAAACTTGTTATACCTTATGAACCAAAGAAAGCAGACGACTATGAATATTATGAGTCTAAAGTTTGTAGAAGTTCAAGGTAAATTGGGTAAAAAGATTTTAGAGTCTAAGCCAGTGTTTACTCCTAAGAGGAGGAAGAGAACATTGACATTGACCCAGAAATGTTCTAAAAATAAAATTTTATTTTTACATGTCAAATTTCTTTTTCTCTGGAACTGGTTCAGGTTCTTTCTTCTCTTCTTACTTTTTTCTCTTTCTTTTCTTTCTCTCTTCTTCTTCTCTGGTGGAGATATGTCAAATTTCTCAGAACCATATCTATGTAAAAGTTCTTTGTCCTTTAATAGCTCATCTATTCTGTTTTCTATTTCATCTTCAAGAACAGCGCATGTGTCTTCTTTGCATTCTAAGAACTTTTGTTGGACTTCATCTTTCGCAATCGGCGTCATCTCTGTCAACAAGTCTGTCATTGACAAATTTTAAGACTGCTCTTTGTAATGTTTTATGGTTCTTGTCATATTCCAGAAACAGAACTTTAGAACAAATTCACCTTTCTTGTTTACACTATGTAAGATTTTATGGTCTACAGATGTTTTGCTGTCAAAAAGCTTGTCTCGAATATAGATAGCGAAATCGCTAGACATTTTTCTAAAAAGATAAAAATTTTAATTTCCTAAAAATATGTTAGAAAAAAAGTTTGCTGACATTGACAAGAAATTTGAGAATGTTTTAAACAAGAACAAGAGGAAGTTAGAAAATGCTCAGATAAAGCCTATACATGAAAAGTTCTTATTTGCTCAGAATGGTAATATACAGGTCTAATTGCACCAACCTGGGTCGGGTAAGACTTTCACTTATCTTAAAATGGCTGCACAACAACAAGAACTAGATGAGTAGAACCCATTCTATGAGTTAGTTGTTATTTGTTCGACTTCTGGTCAATTTGACCAAACCGTCAATTCGTTCAAAGATATTATAAAGAAGTCTAAGTTAGTATGTATAAAGGATACTGAGTTGTTAGATTGGATAAAGAAGTACCAAGAAGAGTTTTGAAAGTATAATGCTATAAATGAGTATATAAATTCTAAAGTTTAAAGACCCAAATGAGGAAATGCAGAGAATATTAGAGAAGAAACACTTCAGAAACAAACAGAAAGAGATAGAATACATTTCGAAGAAATTGCAATCTTACGATTGGAAGACTTACCCTCATAGATGTCTTCTTATCTTAGACGATTTCGCCTCTCATCCTTTGTTAAAGAACAGAGAACAAGACATGTGTCGAATTCTTAAGAAACTTAGGCACTTTAACATTTCAATTGTCATTTGTGTACAAACAGCAAAGAGTTTAAGTAAGGATGTTAAAAGAATACTTACTGACATAATACTTTTCCCCGGATTGTCCGAAGACGATTTCATGGAACTTATGAAAGAGTCCATGGCAGGTAAGTTTGACAGACATGAACTATGGGAGAAGTATAAAGTCATACAAGACCCTCATACTTCTTTCAGAATTCATATCTACGCAAACAAAGTTCAAATTGTGTAAATGGTCAAGCTTGAAAAATAAAGAGTTCATCTACCCTACTTGTTTGAAGTTGTCAAAATACTCTGTTATTTTTTCTTTCAGTAATGTTAAGTCTTCTTTGAATGTAAGTATTGTACAACCTTTAATATCATAGTGTGTTTGAGGTAACGTATCTTGAACTATTTGTTTCACATCTTCATTTGGGGTCATTGAAATCGGTAAGTTTTCACGATAGAACCGGTTTCTGTCAGATTTATATATCTTAGCTAAGTCATAAAAGCTCTTGTTGTTTCTTCTCACTAAATGCAACATAACCATATCTTTATCTTCTTCATTTTCCATCTCTTCAGTGTAAATCATATACTTATAGTTCTTTTCCTTTCCTTTTGGTACCGAACGTGGTATTCTTTTCTGAATGCTTTTGTCTTTGGATTCAATGACTTCATCTTTTGCTTGAAGTTTCTTTTCCATCTCTCCACGTTCTGCTTTATATAGTTCATCTAACATCATGAAAATATAACAAGCATAACGAGGTGAAGCCCACATTGCTACAGCGTTTACTAAAAGTCTATGAATATAATAACCTTTCAAACCAGGTGCCAAATTCTTGCGATTTTCGTACGGAATCTCTTCTCTCGGTTTTCCGAGGGAAGCAATCATATAAGGAAATTCTTCTAAAAGTTCTTTTGTCTGTTGGTTTTCAAACCAATGATATGCTTGCTTTGTAGAACGAAGAGCATTCATTATACTTTGCATTTGGTACATATCGTCTTTGACCGAACGAATGAGACGTAACTGTTTGTTATACTGTATGTACTCGTATTCTTCATTTATGGCTTCATGGACTATAACTGTTGTTGTGTTCTCTGATGTTGACATTACTGTCTTTACATACAAAATAAAAATTTTTCTTAGAAAAAAATTCTAACTTTATTTTTCTAACTAATGAAATTCATTATTTTTGTGCTGAATTCAATAAAAATATATTTTAGGGTAGATGGTTAGATCTAACCCGATATCTAACCTCTTTTCTACCCTCATGAATTTTCATGAATTTTCATGAATTTTATATATTAATGTTTTCGTTAAGCCACTTTGTGCCGTCAGTCAGTCAGTTAATGAAATTTACACCAAAAATATATTTTAGGGTAGATGGTTAGATCTAACCCGATTTCTACCCTCATGAATTTTCATGAATTTTATATATTAATGTTTTCGTTAAGCCACTTTGTGCCGTCAGTCAGTCAGTCAGTTTAGGAAAGACTTTAGAAAGTTGTTGGAAAATAAGTCCTGGGAAGAGTATTATAAGGCGTTTTGTGAAGAATATAGCAACAGTCCGAATTCCAGCGGTTGCTTTTTATACAAAATTCATGAGGGTAGAAATCGGGTTAGATCTAACCATCTACCCTAAAAATTATTTTTGCTGAATTCAATAAAAATAATGAGTTCATTTACTCACAATATTTTTGTACAAAACGACCCCAAACTTTTAACTTCTTTTCTGCAGCTTCTAATGCTATCTTAGCGAGTTCATATTCTCTAAATTCTCTCTTTAAATCTTCTTGTTCCCATTGGTCTAGTTCGTATGGAGAATCTCTATAACCATAACATATCTCACGTTCATGTTCTAATTGTTTTTCGCACATTTTTCTAACTTCTTCTTCAAACAAATGTTTTGCATTCTCTACTGTATCTTCAAGTTCTTCTTCATCTAATTTCTCATGAACTTTCTTGTCTATTTAGTCCATAATATCTTTGACATAAAATGCATACTTTACAGAGCACCATTCAGCAACAAAATGAACGAGGTCAGGATGTATGTAAATACCTTTGAATTCATTTATAACACCCTTAGTAAGCTCATAAAATGCTTGTTTTGAGGTCGAGCCACTTTTGGCTCGACCGTATTCTTTCAACCAAAACTCAAGAATTTCCTGCATTTTAGCACTATTGAGAAATCTGTTTAAATGGTTTAACCTTCCCGCTTCTCTTGCCATCTTTGTTGCATTAATGTAACCATCCTTGTCTCTACGTAAGACTTCAATACCGTTATAAGTGCCTTTTGTGAATGTTTCGCCATTAGATTTGTTCGTGAATGTTTTTGCTTCGACTGACATTTCTGTTCTTACATACAAAATAAAAAAATAAATAAAAATAAAACTAACTTTATTTTTCTGTCTTAAGGGTGCCCTATAGACGATAGACCACCCTCAGAAAAGCACTTTTAAGGCTATTATATTGAGAACTAGAATCCGGATAATCCATTCATTCGAGTTCTAATAAGGTTAATTTTGTGATGTTTACATTATCGTTATAGGGCACCCTTAAGGAAATTCATGAAAATTCAAGAGGGTAGAAATGAGGTTAGATCTAACCATCTACCCTAAACATTATTTTTTGGTCCGGGAACAACTTTCTCTCAATTGGAGCTGTAGCATACTCTTTGCGTAAGCGGTTCAGACCTTCTTCGAAGTCTTGGTCTCTCTTCGATTGAGATTGGAATTGGAATTGCTGGGGTGGAGCTTGCTGGAACAACCAAGGGTTGGGGAAGTAAGGCATAGGCTGAGGAGGGTAGTTCGGGAAGCCTTGTGGTGGGTAGTAACCTTGAGGTGGAAATTGGTAGTAATTCGGAGGTACTTGCTGGAACTGAGGTTGCTGAGGAGACTGTTGTGGTTCTGCAGCTTTCGGTTCTTCTGGCTTTGGAAGGCATTCAGGAAGAGGAACGTCAGTCATCCGTTTGTGTCCTGTCGGAAGGAAAAATTTTTCCTGTCGGATGGAAGAACTTTTTCTGTCGGAAGGAAAAACTTTTTCTGTCGGAAGGAAAAACATTTTCTGAAGTTCGACCAAAAAGTTCTCAATTTTCGAAAATTTGAATGGTTTACGGACGGACAACTGGAAGAGTTTTTCCTGTCGGAAGGAAAAATTTTTCCCTTTGTCGGGAAAATATTTTCCTGTCGGATGGAAGAACTTGGAATGCAAGAAAGACTTGACGAGGCAATTTACCTAATTGAAATTAACGAGCTTGTTAAAGACTTCCTCAGGCAGAATGTAAAAGGCAAGCTTGTTAACGGTTGGATAACGGGAAGGTCTACACTTCAGCTCGAGACTTCGACTGGAATTCCAATTCAAATACCAGACGGGACAGCCTACGATGGCATAAAGGACGCCAAAAGAGAAGCTCTTGTTAAGTTCCTAAACGTCCTTGGATAAAAATACTAAACAAGGAGAACCCCCTACCCCATATGAAATTGGCAATTCAGTCTCTCCTTCACTTCTCTGGTCAACCATTCTTTATAACTACAGAAGGCGACATCCAACCAGTTCAGTAAACATCTCATTTTAACTCACTTTTTTATGTTTTTTGTGAAAGTGTCAAAAATAAATTGTTTTCATGAGTTTTCTACGATGTTAGAAAAAATGTTATTTTCTAATATCTTCACATTCAATACTTTTTCAGCACTTTTCCGTAGTTATATATGAAAGACAATTCGAGATAAAAGTCATAGTACAATGGAATAATATGTTGCACACCATTTGTTGTGAACCAAACTTGAAAGTCAGAGAAACTGTTACTAGGTGGTTCGTAGAATTTAGAAGCAAAGTCATAAAGGTCCTTACCAATACATAGAAAACTATTGTTGCTTGAACTGAAACTTGCATGACACATAACATTTTGAGGGTCAAACACGTTTCTATAAACCATCAAATCTGCTGGTGGAAGTATAAATTTAAATGGACCATCTGGTGGTAATGGTTCGTTCTGGTTTAGTAACCGAAGAAATTGTGCCCAAGAACGTTTGTCTACTTCCCAAAATAAAAACTCTGTATCTTGGAGGGTTAATTTCAATCTTTTGAAATGAAACGGTGGAGTTCATCTTGTCATATTCTAGTTTCAGATAGTATGTTCCATTTAGTAAAGAGTCGTATTTTTCTTGAAATTCCCAATAATATTTGTTCATTTGAGTTTGAAAGTCATCTAGAGTTTTCTCAAGACTTTCGTCTGAACGAACTGTAAAGATTCTCATTTCGTCAAATTTGTCTATTAGACCATCAGGACCTTTATACTGCCCATGAAATATACTGCGAACATAAATGCGTTAGTTCTATTTGAAAACAAAACTCTTCTAAATCCTATTGCCTTTGCATCTGAAGGACTTTGAAGCCAACGAATTGGATAGTCAAACCTGTATGCTCGGGATGAAATTTCTTCATCTGAAATAGTCCTACCAGCATTTGTAAAAATATAGTCTAACGGTTTTGTATCTGCTACTTTTGTTCTTTGTTTTTCAACCTGAAGCATTTAATATATGGAAAAATATATGTTTTAAAATGGTATGCCATATAGCTTCTTGAATTTGTTAAGAAGTATTTGAACGTATTTTCCATCTGTATCTCTAGTGTTTACATAAGCATAGCCGCCTTAGTAAAAATACTTGTAATTTCCTATAGTTTACGCCGGTATAAAAGTAGAAAGAGTCTTGTTCTTCGCTATAGTAGTAAAACTCAACGTATGCTTGCCATAGTCTGTAATTTCAATTGTTTCATCTTCTAGTTCGTCGACAAATTCGAATACAATATCTCCAAATTTGCCTTTGTTCTTATTGTTTTCAGAACGAGACCCAACGTAAGTTTTCAAGTCTATTGTCGTTTCTTATATGGTTTATATGGTCTACAAAAGGTAAATTGTTAGGATTCAGTATAAAATGAGTTGCAATGACAACATGTTTAAGATAGTGTTTTCCACCCATCTTCATAATAGCATATCCGTCATTTCGCTCCCATTCGCTTAAAACTCTTTTTGTCTTTTTGTTTCTGACTTCAAATGACTCACAACAGTGAATTTCATATTTCTCATCTAACAAACAAGTTTCCCAACGGTCTTCTCCAACAAACTCAGCGTACATTTCAAATAAAATAAAAAACGTCACTTTTTTTAAAAAAAATTTTTATTTCATGCAATGTTTTATTTCTGTGCCGTCTTCAAGTATGCCCCAATATTTCCTTTTCGATATTACATGAACTTCGGAAAATACCTTATCTAGCTTAAAACAGCCCATCTTTTCACCGACCATTCCCATTTCAATGAGTTTGTTGTATCCTTCTTCGTTCGTCATGAGTGCGTCAATGTTCTCATAGTAAACCTTGACTTTGGATTTGACTTCGGAGAAGAATTTGTTGTACTCGTCAAGGACTGCTTTTGCGAACTGAGGGTAAGACCAATGTTCGACAATAGGTTTTAATGTGGTTACTAAGCCACTTTGACCTTGAGTGAATTCGTACTTCAAAACAAAAGGAGAAAACCTTTCAACAAAGTTGTCGACCTTCTCATAATGTTTACTCTTCATCTCTTGAGGTTTCTTAGTGGAATATCCCCATGTCGAATTCATAAGCAATTTAAGTGTCATTGCAAGTTTGGGGTTTGAAGCTTTCCTAATATCATACAGTTGTTGTATGACTTTTCCAACTGTATAGTTCCTTCCCGGGAACTCACCATCTTCGTTTGGAATTCCAGTCGGAATATATTAGACAAACCTCATGTATGCAGCGTTAAGGTCGACATAGTATATCTTTTCATCTGAGTCGAACTTGTCGCAACCAATTGGTCCAGTTTGTGGAAATTCAAGTGAGTCTCTTATCTTCTGAGAAACTTCTCCTGTTATCTCATAAACATCGTCGAAGCAACCTGTTTCATATAAAACCTTCTGACCTAACTCAGATGCTCTCCAATACAATTTGACGTCAATTGGATGTCTCAATGGAAGTTTGTTTATAGCATCTTGAAGTTCTTGCAACCTCATTGGAAGTTCTTCTGGTTCAGGTTGGTATCCGAACAAACCAACTCCTTGTGGAACTGTGTACTTCTTTTGTACTAGAACTTTGTCTGGAACAACTTTTGGTCTTGCTAACAATGAAAAGTTTGTTTCGTCTTTTGATACAAAAGTTTCTGTCAGCTTGTCATCTGGAATTGGTTCCAACAAACCTTTCTCGAAAAGAATGTTTACAGCTCTGACAATGTTGCACTTACTTTTACCAAAGAATGGGTTTGTAAGACTTTCGTTCAACATGAAGTGGTTGTGGACAATTACAATCTTCAACCATGGTAAGTCTTTGTCAACAACATAGTCGTCATGAGAAGAACCTTTAGCTGTAGGTATGTTGACTCGGATATTGACATTTGCCAACGGTGCAATTTTTGCCAATTGACCTCTGAGAATGTACCTTGTCTTCACACATGACTCAAGATACTTCATCTTCTCATCTGTAACAAGACCAGAGTTCCTGAGACATGTAAGAATACAAGGTTCATTGACAATTGTTTCAATTGAATTGTAAATTCCATACCTTGTCAAGTCAATGTCAGACTTATTTATGAACGGGAAGTATCCAGCATGTTGTCTGACTGCTTGAGGGTTAGGTTGGTACCATTCGAACTTGACACTTGCAATTCATTCAATTGCATTCAAAATGTCTGAGTCGGAGTCAACCATTTGTTCTCTCTTTGTAGTCTTGAAAGCGTCAAGAAGTTTTGCGGCTGTTTTGTTCATTGCCATGTGCATAGTAAATGTGACCATCCAAATCTGTTATGGTCAATCTGAGATTGTGTCCTTTCTTATTTCCGTCTTGAATTGCAGCAAGTACTCCCATGAAGCCTTCTTTGTTCTTTCCTTCGTCAAAGTTTACTGTAAAGGTTCGACCAGATGTAATTTGACTTCTAACTTCACGATACTTTTCATATGCATATCTTGTTTTTCCATGGGAGCATGTGCGTCTTCACCTTTTCCTTTTTTCCTTCTCAAAGGATGCAATTGTTCGTCATGTTTCCAGTAGAATCTGGCAAAGCCGTCGTGTCCTTCAACTTGAGGTTCACTAACATCGAAAGGCATGTCCATAAGACGTTCTTCTTCTAACCTCTCTAGTCTGTTTGGATAATTGGCACGTGCTGTTTCCAAATCCATTTCGTAGCGAAGACCAGACAATTTGTCATAGACTTTTATGGGTTTTCCTTTCTTATATTTAAACTTCTTCGAAACTCTCCAACCATATCTTTGCAACTCTGCTTTTATTCTAGCAGACTTTCTATCCATTCTATATGGGGGCATTTTTATAAAAATAAAAAAATATTTTTTCTTTACTTTACATAACCGCCTGCTGCCATAAGTCTTTGACGCCAACCCATACCAGCTAATGAAGGTTGACTTGGTTTAGTTTGGAAACTAAACTTTGGTTTTGGTTTATCTTCAGTTTTTGGTTTTTCTTCTTCTATCGGTTTTTTCGTCACTTTTCGGTTCCTCTGACTTTACTTCACTTGCAGGAACAGTTGTGTCGTCAACATCTTCATAAATATCATATGCCATTTTTTTTTTGTTTTCCTTTCAACTTTTTGTGTTTGTTGTAAAGTTTAGAATATTTCGACTCTAAGTCAATGAGATGTTCTATAATGAACTGTTGGTCAGTGAAGTAAACTTTTCCATCTGTTGTCTCGAAAGCTCCTTCAGACTTCAATATTTTATTTGTGAGAGTCTGTTTCTTTTTTGAGATACTAGCCGTTCCATTTCTATGAAAAGTGACTTTATAGTTAGGGTTTGTATTTCCAGACCTGGCACTTTCTATTATTGAATTTTTCTCTTCATCTGTAAGTTCTTTGACAGGTTTTGACAATGGTTCTGAACTTTTTGTTTGTGTGTCAAATCTACCGTTTCAACTTCTTCGGTCATTTCATCTCAGTAAAAAAATTTTAGTTTGGTTTGTTTCAACTGGTTGTTGTTGTGGCGGTGGGATGGTTCCTTTAATAATATCATTCAGTTCACATGCTGAGCCTGACTATATGGTATCGCTTAAATGCTGGAAGCCGACAAATCCATCTTGTACTCATTTGTCTCAATGCTGCATTGTTCATTTCATCTCAATAAAAAACTTTACATTCCCACGTTTGAGGCGGTTGAGGTTTGGTTATTGTTTACCCACTGTTGTGCATGGTTATATCCTCTGTTAAAGAATCTTTCACCTTGGTCATATAGTGTCCTGCTTGGTTATAGTAGTCATTTGCTTTGTTATAATAGTTTCCTGCTTGTCTTCCTACATTGTCCATCCATCCTTGAACTTTTCCTCTTGTTTCAGGATTTGGAATAAGATTTGTTGCATCTCGTCTACATCCCAACCTTTCTGTACAGTTGTATAATAGGTTGTGCTTTCTCTTTAAGTATACCTAA